TAACTGTAATTTTGCTACTGTTATGAGTTGTTATGTAAACATCTGATATGCAGGATGGTCTCAAGCAACTCCTGTGAAAGGGTCGCGACCCACAGGTTGAGAACGTCTGCCCTACAGCTTTCCTGAACAGTTCCCACTGCTTTTCCATCTGAACTTATTTGGAAAGCTCACAGACAGGTACAAAGTTGCAAAAAGGTCTGCTCCACTGGCTCTGGTTGAAGGGAATGCATTGGAAACTGGGCTACCACCTACTTCAGACCAAGACAGCTGCTGTGCCATGGAAGAGATAGGTCAAGGTTGAGTAAAACTGCACAAAATTTCCTGCCATTTTGAATTTGGCTTTGTGTGTGTGTGTGTGTGTGTGTGTACTTGTTTGGCTGCTGTAGACATTTGTTTGCCAGAGCTCCTATAAGATAATGGGCTAAGCTTTTCTTAGGTCCAAAAGCAGGCAGAAGGCATCACTCTGCCATGATCCCTGGGCAAGACATATTTTAAATCTTATCCCAATGATATAATCAGCATTAGCTTAGACTCTTCAGGCAGGAGAGCAAGACAGATGGTGGTGCCTGCTTTTAAATACCTTCTCAGAAGCTAGGAGAGCAGGAGTGATGAGCAATCAGTCTATGAACTAACAGTAAGTTCATACCAAGAGGCACAATAAAATAAAAGAAGGTAGGTACTACAAGGTGGTGCCTGTGGCTCAATGAGTAGGGCGCTGGCCCCATATACTGAAGGTGGTGGATTTGAACCCAGCCCCAGCCAAACAGCAACAAAAAATAGCTGGCGTTGTGGCGGATGCCTATAGTCCCAGCTACTTGGGAGGCTGAGGCAAGAGAATCACCTAAGCCCAAGAGCTGGAGGTTGTTGTGAGCTGTGACACCATAGCACTCTACTGAGGGCAACAAAATGAGACTCTGTCTCAAAAAAAAAAAAAGTGCTATATTGGGGTCAGAAGACCCCAATCTTCGTTTGAGCCTGTTTTTCATTCATTACATAACCTTGATAAAGTTGTTACTGTTTTCTCATAGGGAAAATTGGGACAGTAATATCTCACACAGTTCTTGTAAAGACTGTCAAAAGTCAAAACTACCACAAATTTAGTTTAAAGCTCTAACTGGATTTTATTTGCAGTTCTGGAATTGAGCAGTCCCTCATTCTATACAACTGGAAACAAGGCTGCCATCTACCTCAGACCATGACCACTGCTGTGCCAAGGAAGAGGTAGAGCAAGGGTGAGTAAAAATAGCACAAGATTTCCCTCCATTTTGAATGTGGCTTTTTATAAAACTGGATATTTTCTTGGTTGTCATAGGCATTTGACTGTTTTCCACAGTTCCTATAAGATAATGAGTGTTCCAATGAGCTGAGCAGAGGAGCTTGGCTGTATAGGCAGAAAAGAGCTGAAGAAAAACAAAAACAGAGAACAAAAAGCATTTG